TCTGTATTTCCCATACTACAAAAGATGATGCGCACCTTCACACACTTTGTCATGTGTGTGTTCTCTTCTGTGGTGAATTTATTGACATCTTAATCTATATTGACTGTGCAGTTTTTAATGCTCTATTTCAAATATAGCATTTTACCAAACACATTTGTACATATTCTATTCATTTGTCTTTCATTTTATTATTGAATTAATTTATTTATCATTTTATTTACTTATTTACATCCTGACCACAGTATCTCCTCCACCCTCTCCTCCCATACCCTTCCCCTGCCTCCCGTACATCCCCAATCCTCTCCATCTCCCATGAGTATCAACAAAGCATGGTATATCAAGTTGCCATAAGGATAAGCACCTATGCTTGTATTTGGACTGGGCAAGGCAATTCAGTATGAGAAATAGTTTTCCAAGAGACAGCAAAAACATTAGGGACAGCTCCTGCTTCCATTGTTAGGAGTCCCAAAAATAGGCCAAGCTACAAATCTGTCACATATATATAAAGGGACTATGTTAGTTCTCTGCAGGCTCCCTGGTTGTTGATTCTGTGCTTTTTTGTGATGTCTTTGATATTTCTGACTCCTACAATCCTTCCTCACTCTCTTCATCAGGATTCCCTGAGCTCAACCTAATGCTTGGCTATGAATCTCTGCTTCTGTTTCCATCAGTTACCAGATGAGGGCTTTCTGATGATAATTTTATTAGAGGAAATTGAAGAGATCTTCATTTGTCTTTCATAATGCAATGATTTTAAATAAAATCTATCTTTTCATGTTTTCTTTTAAAACAATTTAAGAGCTTAGTGACTCTTTCATAAACTTACATCACAAATTTTAGCTATTTTTACACAGTCTCCATCTTCACTGCCCTCCCTCTCTGACTGAAGCCTCTCCCTTCACAAGCCCCTATTACTTTTATGCCTTCTGTGTGCTTGCCCCACTGTGTTTAATAGGACTCACTTGCCTGAGTGTTGGTCAGGCCACACAGAATTTTCCTATTCTTTTTCTAGAATTTTATATCTGGATACATTTTAGACAAATGTGTTTACTCAAAGACAGCATAAGATTTTGTCTATACTTAGTACTTGGGATATACACATTTAACTATTTGCACAACATTTATTGGAAAGAACTCCTCTTTATGATTGTGCCTTTTTCAAAAGTCAATTGAAGAAACAAGGAAGATGGATCACTAGGTAAAGTGATTCTCACAAGTGTGGGAGCCTGAGTTATGGTCCCTAGAACAAGTAAAATCCCAGTAGGAATGGTGGTGTGCTTACAATTGCAGTAGGCAAGAGTCAGAGGCCACTGAAGGACTCTTTCAATATAGAAGGTAGAGATAAAGGTGCACAAAACCCTAGCATATACATACACTTTCAAAAACCCCAAATCCCTAGTCAACTGTTATGGACTTACATGAAGTCTTAACACCAAGTAAAATAAGACTTCCAAATTTGCTCTTTGTCATTATTATATTGGCTTATCTGAATTCTTCACTCATTCCACATGCATTTTAAAATTATTTTGTTAACCAAACCAATCAATCAATTCTTCAGACCCAGTGAAGGAATTGATATCATGCTAATATTCTTTCTGTGAACCTGTAATGTCTCTTCATTTATTTGCATCTTATTTGATTATTTATTCCATCAGGGTTTTATACATTTCAGTGTATGGTTTCTTACTTACACATTTTAATTAATTGGATCTGAGTGTAGAAAATACTATTTTGGCAGTGTCTACCAAGCGTAGTGAATCTTCTGCCAAGTTGAAAGAATGAGATGTGACTCAGCTTCCTGAAAAGAGTTTCTCCCCATGCTTATTGTATGATTTACTGATAACATTCAAATATTTAAAAATACTGTGTGTATGGACAAATATGCATCCTAAAAATCTAACTTCAAGACCTCCAATAGGTCATCTCACCTTTATTTTCCAAAATATTATTGTCCTTCTACCATCCCTCCTTCAGGAAAATGATTGACATATATTCTTTAAATTAATCAATTCCTCTTTTAATTGAGGACAATTACACTGATTGTGCTACTAAATTTTAACACATTGTATCAAGAATCTCTTTTGAGCTCCAGCTGAGCCTCAACATCTGGTTTATCCATTATTTTAAATGGCTGTTCACATACAGTATTAGTGCAGGTCAAGAAAGGACCTGCATTGTTTTATTTCCAGAAATGCAGTAGGTACTTGATAAATGTCTATTCTGTGGTTTGATGAAATATTGGAATTACCAAAGTACTATACCAAACAAGATCAACTTTGCACCATAATAGCTCCAGCTATATGTTTCCAACCTCCGTCATTTAGAAGCCAGGTTTAAATTAGCCATTTCCCTCACCATTTTGTGGGAATAAAATGGAGAAGTAAAATTTAAATGTGAAAGTTTTGTTACTTGAATACAATGCCAATAAAACAATTTGTTATGGTTTGAATTTGAAAAATATTGCTCTATGCAGTTTTTCAATTATCTATGGATTTCAATTATCCAGGGATTCGTCTTCTTTATTAGAATAAATAACGGTGAGTTAATATAATGTGTTCTGTGGAATTCAAATTTCACCACAGTCAACTTCATTATCTGGAACTGGACTTTCATTTTCTAATACTGAAGGAGATTTAGGAAATTGCATTATTGTTATTTTTCTCTGTGTGCCTTTGAAAAAGTTGACACAAACTGATTCATAAACAAAAACTGAGAAGTCAGGCGGATTGTCAGATAGGCTCTTTCTACTACTTCATCATATATCTGAAAATTAGGAACTATGACCTTAAGCAAACATTTTGAGACACAAGAATTTGCATAGAAACAAAGCTTCATTCGCGTATATAACACGAACACACAAGACTATGATAACACTCTTGAAAGAAATACCCTTTTAAACTCCTAGGAAGGAAAACAGCAGCACTCAGGATATTTCTGAAGGAACATTCATTATTAACTTGAACAATAAAACATTATTTCTTAAATTAAAGCTTCTGAGAACAAGAGCCAAGAATTTCAGTCATGATTGACTTTTATGAAGGTATATCACTTCTTGAGAGCTAGTTTCCTCCAGGGTAAAAAAATTTCTGAAAATGGAGTGCTGTGAAGAATAAATTTTAATTTGACTATAGATTAAATGCATATTAAGCATATATATATATATATTCAATATGTAGATGTATTGTGAGTTGTAGAACCCTTTAAGAGGCAGAGGCAGGCGGATCTCTGTGAGTTCAAAGACAGCCTGGTCTACAGAGCGAGTTCCAGGACAGCCTCCAAATCAATACAGAGAAATCCTGTCTCGGTAAACAAAAAAAAAAAAAAAAGAGTTGGGTCCTAACTAGAAGAAAAGGGTAAGCTTAGGAGGAGGGTCTTACAGGTTAGACATCAATGAAGTTTCTAACCTCTCTGATTCTGTTCTGCTCACTGATGTTACCAGACAAAGTTTATACTCATATTGCCCCAAAGTGAGCCAATCTTGCCCTCATTATTAAAAGCCCACTTTCAAACTTGAAATAAAAGAAACCCATTGTCCCTTACATTGTTTCAGTACACACACACGTGCGTGCACGCACACACTCACACACACACACAAACACACACACACACACACAACAGAGTGGGGGAGAGCAAAAGTTTCAGTCCCTGAATGAAAGCAATGCTCCAGAAATGTCTAGAAAGACTCACAATCTCTAGGACATCTGCTTAAACAAAACTATAAATGTGGATTATAGCTGGGGATATATCAAGAAGCATTGGACTCATTTAAAAGGTTTAAGGACCTTGACTCAAACTTGTCACCACACAAATGAAAAGCAGAAATCCAATTTATAAAGCAGGGAACTAGAATATGCTGCTGATCATTCCTCCTAATTAAGTCATGTGTTTCAAATTTTCACCTCTCAAAAAGCAGTTTAACATCTCATTTGTCCCATGTAAATCAATTGAGTTTTACATCTCACCTACATGCAATTCAGATTATATACTACTTTTTCTCAATGTTTTGTTGTTGTCTTTTATTTTCACGATTTCTCATGTTCTTTAGTAAAATATGGTATAATTTTCTGTGAAACTCCCAGAAGAGCATATCTCATAACAAGCATTCCATAAATGCATAACAAATTGAATTGATATAATGATGGTACCATATAATACTTGCAAAACATTTGCTGCTTTTGAAAGCACAGCTACATATATAGATACATAGATACATGGCAAATGAGGGAATAATATCCATGTTCAATTGCACATAAGAAATTGAGAAATCAATAGAAATCAAATCATATTCATTGTTCCATACAAAAATTGCAATAATATTGTTCATTAAGAAAGAAAATAGGCTCTTGCTGAGGGACACTATGTGGTGCCTTAATGGGGAGGAGTAGAGCTGTTATGCTAATGAGGAAAAGACTCTTAGTACAAAGTAGAATTATAAACTGTTTCAGAATAACATCTGTTCAATATCACCACTTACAAATTAGAGCACCAGTGCATTATAGGCTTTCTGGGACTATACACGTATAGAAATATACACTTGTACGAATCTGTACCAAACTTAGAAGTTGCTAAATATCATTGAAGGGGGTATAGTAGACTGGGGTTGGATACTGTGGACATGGAACTAAACTGTCATTACTTTTAAGTTTAAACAGTGTTTTATTTGTTTTTTTAAATATAGAAAATACACATTTGTCCTAAAATAGAAACTAATGTTGAAATCTGTCCTTATTCATTACTATATGATATTAGTATATTTAGTATTTACAATTCTGGTTCTTATATATGAAAGATTAATAGCAGAACAAAATGCATTCCAAGTGTCAAGATGTGTGTTTTAAGGTGACAAAGATACTTGAATAATCTGAAATGAACTGGAGATCACACTTGAATAGTAATGAAAGCCTTGTTACTGTTATTTTAGAAAAAAGTATTACTACATTAACCTCACAATACTTCTTTTATTTTAAATTTTGCTTTATTATTTTTGTATGCAGGTGTTTTGCCTGAATGTATGTCTTTGTACCTAGCTCATAAAGTGCCCACAGAGGCCAGAAGAGGGAATACTATCTCCTGAAACTGTAGTTACAGATGATTGTCAGCTACCATGTTGGTAGCAGGAATCAAACATGAGTCCTCTGGAAGAAAAGGTTGGTCTCTTAACTGCTAAGCTATTTCTTCAGTTCAAAAACATCTTTACTATATTGTATTAATTTCTAATGTAATTCAAAGTAATTTGTGCCAGCATAAAAGAGAAGTGTTGATTTTACACAGAAAACTGACACATTAAAAAACCTTCTTCTCTTCTGTATTTGTTTATTTACTTCATGGCTTTATCTTTGTAGAAGTCCATGTTTGAAATATTATTTTTCTAACATTTCCCAAGTGTGTTATATAGCATGGGCCATGGAAAGAGTAAGGTAAGTTATTAAGGAATGGATAAGTGACATTAATTGCCATTGTTAAACTCACAAGGGCAAAAAAGAAAAAGAAAAAACAAACAATTTTCTCTTATAATTCACCTACTATAATTGAAGTTCATCTGGTAGAACTACACAGTTTTGTAAGGTAATTAAATTAAAGCTTAAATATACCTGTAATGGAGAAAGGCAGGAAATATAACTCAAATAATATCCTTAAAAATATAATTAATATACTAACTAGTATCAAAAAGCTTTTAGTTTTTCTAGCTTGTGACGTTATTTTTCAATTTCTTTAGTTCATCTTGATTTGTAGTGGGAAAAAAGAAACAAACCAACAACCCCTCCATAAAAAATAAATAAATAAATCAAGCCCTGCATTCAAAATTTCTGGAGAAGATAATAGAATGGGAATCATTTTCTCAGAACAAAATTTTCTCTTAGATCATGTCTTAGATAAGGAGATTTGGACAGAACTCAATTAGCATAATTCTTTGATGCCTGCAAACTCAAAACCTGAGTGATTAAGAAGCATCGAGGTCCTGTAGACACCTTTTACAACCCTGAAGATGTGATGTCTTCATACCCTCACTTTCCACGTGTTTCTATTTGATAGAAACAGGCCTGATCACCACCTTCAATTTTAACCAGGCCTATTCTGTGTAATATTTAGTGGATGTGATTCTCCTCAAGCCTAACCTGAATGCTGTGCTTTAAATAAAGCTCACTCTTCTCCTCAGCAGGCAATGGTGTGATTATTTCTAATGACTTTTCTTTCTCTAAACTCTGCAGATCCCCATGGAGGTGCCTGGGTGGAAGAACAGAGCATTCCTGCACTGTAATGACGCCTACTTTACCAGCCATTGATTTACACAATGAGCCAAGTAGTGATTGCCTGGATGACATGTCAGGTGACCTTTGAGTTTTTTTATATATAAAAGAATTCAGAGTCCATAATATAGAAGAAGGCAAAGTGACACTTTACATATCGCAGCTGGATCATAGCAACCTACTATTCATTCTGTGATTTCCATATGAACAGGGAGTACTTATGTTGACTTTCTCATCTTGTCACACATCTCACTGTGTTATTTGGACTTTTCAAAAATTGTAAATATGCACTGCAGTAACTAATTGCAAGTAAATGATCCTTGCCTTGAGTATTTTCAGTCTTTCTGTTGTCTGAACCCCTGCATAGTCTACAGAGCAATTCTCAGAACTTGATACTTAATGAGTACAAGGTTTTAAATATATTCTTGGAGATATAACTCAGTCCTCAGTTCTGTAATTATCCTGACTAATCTGGAAGGTACTAGAACATACAAGATTAGATTTCATTTTTTTATCTGGTGTTGGACATTAAACCTACCATCTATCATAGTCATGACATATGCTATCACTGAGCTACAACCCCACTCCCCTCTTCATAGGAAACTGTGGGCATTATAGATTGGCTTGAATTTTTCATATTTTAGAGTAATAGAATGATAATGCTTCTTAATCCAAAGGTATAATATTTAATGTGATGACAGATTCTTTCTCTTCATTTTCTCTGGCAATTACAAAACTTTTTATTTTCTCATACATTACATGCCAATTGCACTTTCCCCTCCAGCATGTCCTCCCAGTCCTTCCTCCATACCCCATCTTATCCACTCCTCCTCTCCCTTCAGACAAGGCAGACCTCGCATGGATATCAACCTGCAATAAGCATAGGCACCTCCCCTCATAATAAGGCTGGACAAGCAACCCAGTAGGAGGAAAAGGGTTCCAAAGAAGTCAAAAGAGTCAGAGACAGCTCCTGCTCTCACTGTTAGTAGTCTCACAAGAAGACTAAGCTACACAACCATAACATATATGAAGAGGTCCTAGGTCAGTCCCAAGCAGGCTCCCTAATTGTTGGTTCACTCTCTGTGAACCCCTATGGGTACAAGCTAGTTGATTCTGTGGATTTTCTTGTGGTATACTTGATCTCTCTGTCTTCCACAGAATTTATCAAGTTTCTGCTAAGGTTTGGCTGTGGCTCTATGCTTCCGTTTCCATCAATTGCTGGATGAACTCTCTCTCTAATGATGATTATGCTAGGCTCCTGTCTATCAGTGTAGCAGAATATCATTAAAAATCTTTTCATTTAATTTTCTTCTCCTATTTTTGGGGGCATTGTGCTTGTTTTATTCATTCCTTGGTCTCCAGGCTTTCCAGCCACTGGGTCTGGGCCTCATGGCCATGTCAATCATGGGCTCCACCTTGTGGCATGGATCTCAAGCTGGACCAGTTGTTGGTTGTCCACTCCTACAATTTCTCTGGCCCCTTTATCCCAGAACATCTTTTAGACAGGACAAATTGTAGGTCAAAATTTTTGTGACTGAGTTGTTGTCCCAGTTTCTCCACCAAAAGACTTGCCTGGTTAAAGAAGATGGCTGGTTCAGGCTTGTATCCTCACCTTCATAGATTCTTGGGAGTTTACATTGAACTAGGTTTTTACCTCACCCCCCAAATCACCCAATTCCAGTAATCTCTCCAAGTATTCTCTCCCATCACCCATTCTCACCTGATCTTCCTGTATCCATCCATGCCTACCAACCCTCCAATCAGCCTGAAAATTTTATTATATTTTCCCTTCCCAAAGAAATTCAAGTGCCTCCCCTTCACCCTTTCAACATTCCTTGTTACTTACCCTCTCTGGGTCTTGTGACAGTAGCATGATCATTCTTTACACCTAATATCCATTTATGAGTAACACAAACCATGTTTGTCTTTCTGGGTCTGGTTCTGGGTCTCAGGTATCTCATTCAGGAATGTTTTTTTTCTAGTTCCATCTGCAAATTTCATAATTTTTAATGGTTGAATAATACTCCATTGTGCTAATGTACCACATTTTCTTTATCCATTCTTCATTTGACAGACATCTAGGTTGTTTTAAGTTTCTGGCTATTATGAATAAGGCTGCTATGAACCTAAATGAACAAGTATGCTTGTGGTAAGGTGTAATATCTTTTGGGTATGTGTTGGGAATGGTTTATCTGGGTCTTGAAGGAGATCAATTCCCTTATCTGTGAAATAGCCATTTTGATTTCCAAAGTTGCTGTATGAGTTTGCACTCCCATCAGCAATGGAGGAATGCTCCTCTTGCTCCATATCCGCTCCAGCATGGGCTTCACATGTATTTTAGTCTTAACCATTCTGACAGGTGCAAGATGGCTTCTCAGATTCATTTTGATTTGCATTCCCTGATGGGAAGGATGTTGAACATTTCTTCAAATACTTTTTGGCCATTTGAGATTCCTCTATTGAGAATTATGTTTACATCTTTAACTCATATTTTAATTGGAGTATTTGGTTGGTTGATGTTCAGTTTCTTGAGTTGTTTAAATATTTTGGAAATTTTCTGTCAGATATAGAGTTGATGAAAATCCTTTCCTATACTGTAGGCTGCAGTTTTAGTAACTTTGGCTTACAGAGATTTTCAGTTTTATTAGGGCCCATTTAGTAGTTGTTAATTTTAATGCCTGTGCTATTGATATATTGTTCAGAAAGTTGTCTGTTGTGTCAATATATTCAAGATTATTTCCCACTTTCTCTTCTATTAGGTTCAGTGTATCTGCAATGTGCTGAGGTCTTTGATCTATTTGGAATTGTGTTTTGTGGAGATTAATAGACATGGATCTATTTCCATTCTTGTATATGCTGGCATCCAGTTAAACTTCCATCCTTTGCTGAAGATGTTTTTCTATTCCATTGTATAATTCTGACTTCCTTATCAAAAATTAGGAATCAATAAGTGTGTAGATGCCTGGGTCTTCAATTCAATTCTGTTGATCAATCTGTCTGTTTTATGTTAATAACCTGTGATTTTTATTAATATAGCTCTGTAATAGAAATTAAGCTCAAGAATGGTGATAATTCCAGAAGTGTTTTTATTGTACCGGATTTTTTTTGCTATCCTGGGTTTTTTGCTTTTTGATATGAAGTAGCTTATTGATCTTTCAATGTCTGTAAAGAATTGTGTTAGAATTTTGACAAGAATTTCATTGAATCTATAGATTGTGTTTGGCGAGATCTAAATTTCAAAAGATCCATAAGCATGAAAGATCTTCTCATCTTCTCATAGCTTCTCTATTTTTTTCTTTAAAGATTTGAAGTCATTGTCATAAAGGTCTTTCACTTGCCTGATTAGAGTTACAATAATATATATATATATATATATATATATATATATATATATATATATATATTTGAGTGTATTGGGAAGGGTATTTCTTTCCTGGTTTGTTTTTTATTTTAATTTTAAATAGCTTGTTTTACATGTCAATCCCAGTTCCCTCTTCCTCCCCTCCTCCCGCACTCCCCACCCCCCCAGCCTCCCACCCTATTGCCAAATCTTTCCAGATAGGGGATATCTAGAGTCTCTCATTTCACTCAGGGCAGGGTCCAGGAACTCCTCTAAGAGTCCAGGCTGAGAGAGCATCCCTCTTTGTGCTATAGGCACACGAAGACTGTTTGTATTCCAGGGATAGACACTGATCCACAGCTCAGGACCCCATAGGTTGTCCAGGCCTTCTCACTGACACTCACATTCGGGGGGGTCCAGATCAGTCCCATGCTGGCCTCCCCGATGTCGGTCTGGGGTCCAAGAGCTCTCCCCTGTTCAGATCAGCTGTCTCTGCTGGTTTTGCCAGCACATTCTTTGCCAATTTGTTCATCACTCCTCTCTCTCTCTGTCACTGGGCTCCTTGGGTTCAGTTCAGTGATTAATTTTGTTTTTGCCTCTGCTTCCATCAGTCACTGGATGAAGGCTCCCGGATGGTTATAGACATCAAGTTCATTATCAGGAATGGACATTCGAGGTGATCTCTCCTCTATTGCTTAGCTTGCCAATTGGTGTCATCCCTTTAGATCACTAGAGGTCACTCTGGTGCCTGATCTGTCTTCTAACCTATGATTCCCTCATCCCCCTATTCTACCCCCACCCACTCAAACTTCCTGTTCCCCCATGACCTACTCTCTCTTCCTCTTCTCCCCCTCTCTTCTTCCCAGCTCCCACTCCCCCCCACCCCTTGCCGTGTTCTTTATCAACCAATTTATCATCTGTCTATTTGAAGGCTACTAATTTTTTTTCTTAATTTAATTTTTCATTTAGCCACTTTGCTTAAGGGGTTTATCTATCAACTGTAGGAGTTCCGTGATAAACATTTTCAGGTCACTTATGTATACTATCATAACATCTGAAAATAGGAATATTTTGATTTCTTCTTTTCCAATTTGTATCCCTTTGATCTCCTTTAGTTGTCTTATTGCTCCAGCTAAAATTTCAAGTATTATATTGAAAATTTGAGAAGCTAGTATACAGCTTTATCTTGTCCATGATTTTAGGGGTATTGCTTTAAATTTTTCTTCAATTAATTTGATATTGGTTATTAGTTTGCTTTAAACTCTCTTTATTTTGTTTAGGCATGTCCCTTGTATCTCTGTTATCTCCAAGACTTTTTTCATGAATTGGTGTTATATTTTTTAAAAAGGGCTTTTCCCGTATCTAATCAGATAATCAGTGGTTTTCTTCTTGTTTGTTTCTTCACTTTGCTTATATGGTGAATTGAATTGACAGACTTTCATATGATGAACCATTCTTGCATCTCTGGAAAGAAGTGTTGTGAACTGACTCTGAACCCCCCCAAAAGACCAATATACCAGACCTGATGCAAAAGCAAATAGTCTTTTTAATTTACTAGTTAACTCAGATCCTCCATCTGTCCAACACAGGAGGTGAAATAAAAGGACACTGAACAGCAGTGGGGCAGGGCATACATTGGGGATAGAGTAAGGAGGGTGTCTTGGGGTCTCCTGGTTGCATAGTAGCAGCCTCAGGATTGGTATAACTCTGGGATAAGGAACCTGTCCTGAGATCATTAGT